GTGCTTTAGTTCTCTCAAGTTCAGCCATTAGGTCAGCATAACTAGTGGTCTAAATATCTATGGCAGTGCCAAGTTGGTTTTCCTGAACTAAACTTGAAAGATGTTCATAAAATAGGTTAGACAAGACGATTTGGTTATAATGTGTCTAACAGAGAGAATAGGATTCTAAAGGGTAATTAGCAAGTTTGGAAATGTAAATTTGAAAAAGTGAAAGTTTCTCAGCTGCTTTCGGGCTACTTGCATTCCAATATTTTTATTCTCTGTTTTACAAGAGCTTAATCCAACATCTCTATACCTATTAACTAAATTTTCGAAAATGCAACTAAGATCTCATGCTTTTTGTTTCTGGTATGTTTTTGATACTAAAAAAAAAAAAAGTTAGATCGTTTAGTTAACAAGATCCTTTATTAAAACAAATGCGTTAAGAAATCCCCGATTTTAAGGTCTCACTTACTTTTTTTAAATCAGCTTATAATAAGTGATTAATTGGGATAATCGAAAGTAGACATTTTATACTAACTATTAGTATATCGTTTAGTAACAAGTAATAGTACAAAATCTTGTGAAACTCTCAAGAGAAGAGGGCATAAAAAAGGCGTAACAGAGCCAATCAAATTTCAAAGATTATTCTAGAACTCAGATTTTCAAATCTAGAACTTAATTCCAAATATGGTATATTCCCAGACTGAAATAGACAACCAAAAGTTGCATATATAGCTAGTCGTACTCTTATTAATAATAATCAGAGCTTAAATAGGTAATCTTCAAGTTAGGTTGCAGGTATGATGGCTAGTGTAGAACCCAGGCAGACTACTTAAATTAGATATTAAAAGTATACGTATAGCTTGATATATTCTAGTTGTAACTATATAACCTGAAGTTAATAAGTCTAATAAAAAGTCCCTGGTCATAGAGATTATCTTAACACCAAAAAAAAAATCTAACTGTTTAACTATTATTATATTTATATAAGATATCCTAAGTAAAAATACTTTATGTTTCTGAAAACTCTTTCCAAACTCTAACTTTAATTCTAAATACTAACACTAATATAAAAATTTATATTAAAAAAATTTTTATATTTAAAACTTAGAAAAAATTTAAAAAACATAATAAAATATATGATAGATGCAAACTACCATAGATATTTTTTATAATAAATAAATTTTTATAGTATAAAAAAAGTTAGATTGCTTATAAACTAAAAATAAACAAGTTTAAAAAAAATTTTTAATCAAAAAAATTATTTATAAATTTTTGATGAATTCTTTAAATATTAATTTTAAATATATAGTTCTTAAAACAATATTATAGTTTATTTATAAAATTACAACTTTTATTATTGCACTTTTAGTAATTTATTAATAAAAATTAAAACTTTACTTAGAAGCAAAAAAATTTTTATAGATGAAAAACATATAAAATTTAAAAAAAACCCAAAGAAAAAATTATATTGTAAAAAGTTTATTACAAGAACTTTAACCTTTTATTATGCTAAATATCAAAAAACTTTTTAAACTAATAACTATTGATTATTATCTAGAGTTACTAATTAATTAGTAATACCTTTACTGATAGAAATCAATATAAATAGAAATCAATAGTTATTAATTATCGATTTTTATCTATATCGATTTCTATTAATAGAAGTATTACTAATTAATTTCTATTAATATCGATTGTTATTAATGGACTTAATAACTATCGATTTCTATATTTATTAATATATAATAATCATTTATTAGTTAGCAAATAATTAGTAGCATAATCAATTATTTTTAATAAAAATACTTAGTGATTATAAACACCCTTACTGATTATTATTAATTAAATTTATCGATAATAATCAATTAGTTGTTAGCTATTATTATTTATCAGTTTAAAAGATTTTTTGATGAAGTTTTTTAATAATTTTAAAAAATTTTCTTAATAAGTTAATAAAACAAATCCAAAATTAAATATTTTATTTAAAAAATATATAGCTAAAATCAATATTTAAGATTTATTAAAAAAATTAAAATTTTTAATAAAAATACAAGCAAATTTGTCTGTGTCACAATTTAAGAAATATAAATAATAAAAATAAAATAAAATATATATAAATTAATTGGTTTTATCTAATTACAATATATCAATAAAAGCCTAAAACCAATTTATCATCTATATAGATAGTTCAGTTAAACAACTTGGCACCAATCAATATTTAATAGGTCTTGGCTAGATTCAAGTTCATAACAACTATATTATCCACAATTTCTTTGCACAAATTTCTAACTAGCCTTTTTCTTATAAAGCTAAACTACTAGCAATACTATTTGCTATTTTAATACTTCTCTAAAACTTTAATATTAAAATATTCATAGACTCACAATCTATTATCTCTAAATATAACAAACTTTTATCTATATTATCATACTTCTCTAAATATCTTAAATTCAACTTCTGGTCTATCTAGTATATATTTCTTAATATCTTAAAAGTCTTCAATATAAAAATTTCTTTCTATAAAGTTCAAGTATATTCTGATAACCTCTTTAATAATTTTGCAAACTTACTTGTTAACAACTCTATATTTTAATCATACTAATTCTTATAACCTATATTCTAACTTACTATGAAAAGATTGCTTTGTCAAAAGCTCTACTAGACAATTTATTAAAATAATTTGCAAAGTACATACTATCACTTTATGGTCTTCACAACACTATACCCAAGAATGGTTATTCTTCTCTCACCTAATTAACTGGAAAGCCTCTTGGTTATACTTCAACAACAATTAAAAAATCTCACACAACTTTACCAACCCTAAACTAAACCACTTAAAAGCTTTCAAAATTAAATTGCTGCTTAATATACTACCAATATATACATACTTCTATTCTATATACCCTTTTACTTTTATACTTGATAATTGCTTTTCTTGTAACTATTCAGATACTTCTTCTCACTAGTATACTTGTTTTAACAATACTCTTCTAACTTAAACTATTAACTCTTCAATATATGATATTATTCTTAACTCCAATCTCAATCTTTCTACATACCAACTTTACAATCTTATATATACTATTTTTTCATATTCTTCTTTTAATTCTTTATCTTTATCTTTTTACTCTTATTTTCTTTATTTTATACTCAAAGTTCTTATGTTAATACTATTGATTCAGGTCCTGAACTCTTTCAATATCTCATACTCTAATACTTCTTAACTTATTATATAAATACTTCTTAAAATCTCTAACCAATTATATCACAAAATATGGATTCCTTACTGTATTAATTTTTTGACTAGAAAAAAGCATATCAAATTCCTTCTTAATCTACTTCTAATACAATATCTAATTTATCTATATCTTCTTCATATAAAAGAAACAAAACTAAATATATCTATAACTACCCTTGTAACTTTACTAACTAACTATACTCTAAATCTAATACTTGCCCTCCTCTAGAACAAGCATCTACCAAACTTAATATCTGGTCTACTATGTGAATTAGATATAGCATATCCACTAACAATATTCTAACTATTCAAATCTAGATAAGTCTTAACCACTCTAGTAAGTTTAAATTATAGATAATTAGTTTAAGCTTTAGTTTGAGCTTTTAGTCTAAGCTTTTATAATTTATATTTATTTGTTCTTGTACAAATTAAGCTTTTATATCTATGTAATTGCTTATATAAATTAATCAATAAAGATATGAGCAAGACCTCACTTTAATAGCAAAAAATATATATATATATTAATAAAAGTGTATGACTTAGTAAAGTAGTAAAGCTATAGTATCCTCAAGCTAGCTTGATTATAATATTAAATTTAAATTTTATTAGTAATATTTTAGACAAAAATATCTATATTACTATAATAAATTTCTTATATTAGATTGGGTTTATAACCTGTTGTTTAGTTTATACCAATAACTCTAAATATTAAAAGTTTCCAAAAGCATTTGTATTATTGCACAAAAAAATATAAACTAGTATAGATAGTGCAAATCTACAATAAGTTTTTTAAAAATAAAAAATATTAAAAATATCTATACAAAAAATTTAAAGATTCAAAACTAGCTTGGCAAATTTTAAGTAAAGATTAACAGATTTTTGATAGTATTATAAAACAAAATAAAGTAAACTAGAAATTGAAAAATTTGAGTAATAAAGATTTTTGGTTAAAAGAATTTACTAACAAGCTGCCAAGATAATCTTGAAAAAAATATATATATTAAAAAAGTATATATTAAGAATTAGAAGATCTTCATACTTGTACTTAAGAAACTTAAATTTAAACAGACCAATCTTTTTTGGCTATCTAAATTGAAAAACCAAAGATACCAAGAGTATAGATACAAAGAAATAAATAGGATACTGGGATCTATAAATCTTAAAAAAAGTAAAAAGTAAATAATATAAGATTAATTAAAAAGGTTGTACTTGAAATATAAATTGTATTATAGCAATATTTCAAAAGAAAGTATAAAATATGAATACAATAGTAGCAGACAATATATACTAATTAAAATAAAATTATTAAATAAACATGTACCTATATATAGAATATAATAATATAATATTAGGTTTACTTTAAGAATTAGCTAAAAAAAGTTTTATATTAGCTAGTAATTTATAGTTATTGTATAGGGTTTAAAAAATATGCATGTGGGTGCCTAATGGCAACAGGTGATTGGCGCAAATCATGCTGCACAGCGGCATGATTGCGCCAATCACCTGTTGCCATTAGGCACCTATGTGAATATTTTTAACCCTATGCAATAATGATATTATTGTGAAGTAGTAATTGACGATTGTACTAAACTTTTATATTCGTATAGATTACATGATTAATTAAAACTTTTATCTTCATATAAATTACGTCACTAATTAAAACTTTGAGTATATATATCTCTATTTTTTTATATCGATTTTGATTTCTCTTTTATGCTTTCTCTTTTGTGCTTTTCTCTTTCACTTAACTCTTTTTTTTATATCCATATAAACTGAAATGTCTAAAACTAATAAAAAAAAGACTTACCAAAAGCCAACCCAAGAACAAATTCAATATCTGCATGATAAATCTAAAGTTCATAATACAGAAAAGTCAACACTTAATTGGATACAAAAATTCCAAAAGTATTGTTCTGATGTTGGGTTGAAAAGTGCTGCAGAAAAAGTTAATAATGTGACTGAATTAGAAGTTCAACTATGTGAATACTTCACTGTTGCCGAAAAAGGAGATGGATCACATATTCTGTTTTGTCATTATTAGCTGCAATAAGGGCAATTAACAGGTTTTATAACTCTACTATTAGCAAAGTAAAACCTGTTAAATTATATGATCGACAAGCATGTCTAGATTTATGGGCAGTACTTGATAGTAAAACGAAAGACCTTTCTGAAAAAGGATATAGTGAAACAAATGGATCTGATACCTTGACATTTGAAGAAATCAGAACTATTTTAAGTCATGAAGCAACGTCAAGAGATACTCCTAATGGTTTATTATGCAAAATTTTTTTTTATAATGCTATTTTTTTAGCTTTAAGAGGAGGTAAATATTATACACTAATAGCAGACCATTTTCGTAAGAGAAAAGATGGAGGTTTCGATGTGTATATCTATAAGTCAAAGACAAATCAGCATGGGTTAAACAACCTTAGATCTGCTGATAAAATTTTAATTTCTGCTGAAAATGCTGATATAATCGCAGATTACGAAAAATATTTTTTAAAAAGGCCAGTTAATGCTAATCCTGAGTTTTACTTACATC